CCTAATAAGGTTATTAAGCTTCGTAAACTTGGCTTTACGAAAGCAGCGGACACGTTCAGATAGCCTAGCCATTCGATCCAATACAGTAGGGCCAATATCGACTGACACTTCGAATGTAGGATGGTAGGTTTCTTCAGTTTCTTCAGGTATAGTGAGCGGAAGGGCTCGGGATAACAACGCTATGGTCTAAGCAATCGACCCAAGGAATTTTTCACATGGTTGACTTGAGACAGGGATAGGTCTAGCAAGCCGTCGATAAAGTCATGTCGTGACATGGGCACAAAGTTATTAGACTCGTTTACCGAATACCAAACAGTACCTGGCAAATTGAAATCACCAATAACTATCATATGGTCTTTATCTGATAGCGAGGAAGAAACAGTTTTTAAAGCGGATAGGTGATGCTCGTATATTAAGATATCCGAGGAAGGTGGAATATACGAGCAAGTAATGAAAATGGAAAAGCCTGGGAGAATCAGTTTTACGCAAAGGAATTCCAGGTCTTGTTGAACCTGGACCATGAAATGTTCCGACGTGAAGTTTGAGTCCACTGCAATGAGGACCCCACCTCCACGTCGAGACGAACGGTCATTTCTAAAAATTGGATACCGACCTGCCAAAACTTCGGAACTAAGGATGTCCGGCTTCAACCAGGTCTCGGTAAACACAATAACGTGGGACGAGAATGCGAGACTCTCAAGGAAAAGAGTGCTGAGCTTACTACGCAAGCCTCTAGCATTCTGGTAGGTAGCTACAAGAGAGGAAGTTAGTTTTTTGGATGGGTGGAAGTAGAGGTGGAAGATGAGGATGGAGATGGAGCACTGGTCTGAATGCTAGGAAGAGTAATGGGGGGCCTATTCTTTTTATTAGCCTTAAACTCTTTAACCACCAAATGCTCCGGCCAGAACTTGGCGGAAAAAATGGTTTCAAATTGAGTTGGGGAGACGTTATCTTGAAGGAAGATATCTCCCTGGCGTAAGAAAAGTTTAATTTTTCCACCTTTAAGCCGACGGATTTTATTTTGCTTTGTATAAAAGCGGTCACATCATTGGATGTGAGGTCAGGGGCTAGCCGCGAGACAAAAACTTGTCGTTTTGGTGGGACACCCACCAGTGGTTTTGGCACCACTGGCCTAGTACCTGTGATGGCAGTATCCGGTGGTCCAGGACATCTATTAGCTGGTGGGAGCGAAACTGAGGGCATAGTCAAGGGGTTGGGTGCGGACTCGATGGACACGGACTCTACAGACATTTCTAACTGCATACTCTCCGAAGTGACGCATTCGGCTCCCGAATCTGCATCACCAGCAGCGATCGTTGCCCTTGGAGTAGCAAACGTAATCAATTGCTGCACTAAGGGAGTGGTCGGAGTAAGTTTTTCCGATGCCGTCGGACATGAGGCAGTCGGCACTTGCAAATCCCGCGGAGTAGACTTCTTGCGCCTCGGAGACTCAGCCAGCAGCTGTAAACTGCTGAACTGGCCAAGAGCCGATCATATTGCTGTTTAAAGCCTACGATCAGCTCTTTGAAGCCACTCCGCGTCTGCCTCATGAACGAACGCATGTCTTTTTCCACAGCACGGCATTCCTCACAACTATAATGCAGGCCGTTGTTTTGGGAAATAGCGTCTCCTACACGGCCCGAGATTTTTTATTTCGGGAAAAAAAAGTTCAAAACAAATAGCAATCAGACCACTGTGCAGAGAAAATGATTAGAGCAATGCTTAAAGCAAAATCGGTAAAAATAAGATAAGAATAAAAAAAAACACCGGCTGTTTAAGTTAAACAAAAGGAAAATGCGGAGCGCAAAACAAAAACACGTCTGGTCACTACGAAAGAGAACGAACGATGGTATTTTCACATTTAATTTCCAATCTCTTCTCCATTTTCCCTTCACCATTCACCATTCTTCATTTTTTATTCCTCATTCTTCATTCTTTTTTGTACTGTTTTGGCTTTTGGCATCCATCTTCAGGTGGCTTTTTGTAGCCTCACCTTTTATTCGACTTATGTTTTGGATGATTTACACTCCATTATGCTAATGAGGCAGCTGGCCTGGGGCAGGGGCACACGGGTAGGTTTGGCAATCATTTGGGTCCACATTGCGTATGAGCGATGGCAGGAGGAGGCAGATTGGATCCACTATACTGGAGAAGGAGGGGAGTGTTCTCGGGAAGTGTGTTGCATGTGGGAGTTTTCTGCCAGCTCCCTCGATTGGCAACCACAAATGCGATTGAGCTAAAGTTGCTGCAGGAGTAGAAGAGGAGCTGGAGAACAGGAGAAGCAAGGGAAAAAGGAGCACTTTGAGGCTGAGTACACCTCCAGCTCTCTCAGTCCCTCAGTCTCCTCCGTTAGCCGCTCAATTTGTCGAGGCTGGGGCCACATTCTTGATAAATGTCAAGGGCCATTGTGCAAGTTGTCAGCAGCCCGTACCCTCGTACCCCCCAAGTACTCCACCCCACAGGCTATTAATGCAGCAAGGAACTAAGAGCGGAGCGTTGCCAGCAAAGGTTTGGTGCTGTGGTGCTGTGGTGCCGTGGTGCTGAGGTGCTTATAAATACCACGCTCTGACGAAGAAATATGCACAGAAATAAATGAAGCGAGAGCATGACCCGTGCCAGCGTATAAAATATCGCAATGTCACATTGCCACTGCAATGTCCTTGGCGGGCCACCGCCCTAAGCCAAACCCAAACCCATACCCAGCACCTCCTCCTCACATCCTCTCCCTCCAGCACAGTGGAACATGTAATTGTAACAGACTGTGCCCGCTCCTCATGCTCCTCATCCTCCCGTTGACTACAATAACCGACTCGGGACAGCGGCAGCGACAACGCCCCCACCAAGACAGGAGAGGCGACAGGGACAGGACATGGTGGTGGGCAGGGGAACAGTGTCATGGGCGGGGGCGTGGGCAGGGGCAGGAGGCAAAAGAAAATGGAAAGCGAGGCTGAAGCTGTCAACTGTCGCGCTTGCTTACATGCACGGAAAATTTATTAAAATTGAAGACAGCCAGACAAGCTGCACTGCCAACGAGCCCGTTTGTCATTCAGTCACTCAGTCAGTCAGTCAGCTTAGAGATGAGAGCGTGACACGATAGATTCCCAGGGGGAGAAGGGAGCTCCCAGAAGCTTTCCTGATGGACAGCAAAGTAGATGGAGGATAAGAAAAGCAATCTGGAAAGTCAATCAAGGAGCAAGACTAATATGGGACTATGAGGAGAGGAGGTATAAGAGATGAGTGCGTGACACGAATTTTCGAGAGGAGCAGAGAGCAGAGAAGAGCATGGAGCAGAGAGCAGAGAGGGCTTGGTACAGCAACAGAAAGATAAGTGAGAGCGAGGCACGACGTATCCTGCATGTGTTGCATGTGTTGCATGTCGCACCATCAGCCCCAAGGATAACATCGCAATTTGTTGTGCATCGCCTAATCCTTGCGCTAATTTCGAGCCAATGTGAATTATGTGTGGGACACTTAAGTCAACTCTTGCCGCAAACCAGACGCCCCGCCCTCCACACCAGTACAGTGCACAGAGCCCACAAGCCAACATCCAGCCAAAGAAGAATGAGAGACGAGGCTGAGACGAACAGAATGAAGAGCATGAGGCAGGTCCAGAGGTACTCCTGTCCCTCCTTTCGTTTGTGTGAATTTTACAGAGCTTTTACTTTTTGCAACCAGATTAAGTGATTCACTTGAGCCAAAGCCCCAGCCCCAGAACCAGAACCAGCACTAGCCACACCCACAGCCCAAGCTCAGACCATTAAGGGCGGGCAGAAGTGCAAGGGTTCTGGCATGGGCACAGACACGGGCTCGCAGTCATTGCCAAGACGCTCGACAGAAATTAAATGTCTCTCAAATGAAAGAAAAATCATTGCCAGCTGCTTCGGAAATGGATACTGCAATAAATATATATGGGAGGCTGCTCTTCTTACTGAGATTGGTCCTTCCACTTCAGTCAGTTTCATTCAATCAGAGTCCTCAGAACGACAAAAACCTCGAATCGAAGTGTCTGTCTAGCTGCTTGCAACAGAGAATCAATTTACATATGCGGGCAGAGCACACTGTTGATTGTGCTGGGACAGGGACAAGTAGACATCGCATTCAGCACAACGCGGTGGGTGCGGCGCTGTTAGCTGGTTCGTACATCCACGATATTTTTGTTTTTATATTTATTAGCACCCGGCTCTTTTTGCCACAACAAAAAGAATCAGCATGCGGCCGTTATATCTCGCTCACTCCGCCAGGTGGCGCACGCACACTGATCAGGGAAGAGCGAGAGAGACAGCAGGCGCTGTGAACGTCGGAGATTCAGACACTGGAATTCATTTTCTTTTATTCAGATCTGATCCGCATATATAAGGTAATCCTGGCGCCTGCATGGAGGTATGGCAAACGAACCTGGACAAGATCAGGATGTTTCAGAACAAGACCCCCCGAAATATCTGTGGTGCTGAATGGTATGTCCATAATAGAGACATCGCCAAAGACCTTGGGGTCCCCTCAGTCGGTGACATTATTAACGAACAAGCCACAAGATGCTTGACCAAACTGAGGAGCCACCCAAAAGTCCTCGCTAGAAGATTGGTAGGGAGCAGAATCAGGCGAAGGTTAAACCGCATCCATCCGTCCGAGTTGGCCACCAGGTAATTATAAATTATTGTTGCACAATGTCCGTTTTCGTCCGTTTTCGTCCTTTTTCGTCCGTTGGTCCCGCATTTAACTTAAAATAGTAAATTGTAAATATAAATTTCCTTGACACTTAACAAAAGTTGCTAATAACAGAAACAGTACGTTAAGTATTTGTCTGTGATAATTGCTTACAATGAACCCAAAAAAAAAAAAAAAATAAAAAAAAAGATCCAAATCACACGCTTACTTGGCTACACTTTTTGTACGTTTAGCAGAGAAAACCCAGCAGGCTGGCCAGTAGCCTTGAGCAACAAATTCGACTGGGAATATTCAGTTAGTCAGATTCGTTGACCGAATCCACAACCTAAAGTCTACAAAATTGAAGTCTACAAGTACAAAATTGAAGTCTACAAGTACAAAATGGAAGCCTACAAGTACAAAATTGAATTGGTACGAAATAAATTTAAAATAAGATTAAATTCGTATTAAATAATTTCAACACTTTCGTAGCAAATGAGCGACACGAGCGGACAACCGGGCAAGAGTCCGGCACCCGAGGCTAAGCCAGAAGGCAGGGAGTTTCTGGATGACGGGTCCAAGGAGGATCTACTGGCGGACACGCAGGTGATACGCCGGAGTCTGGAGAGCCAACTCGATAAACTGCGCGAGGAGAAGAGGTGGGCGGAGCAGTGCAATACCCAGCTTGAGATCGACCTCGATAAAATCAAAAAGCGATACAACGCCCTGGAGTCGGACTTTGAGGCCATGGTGTTGGAGAAGGAGCTCAAGATACATTCGCTCGAACTGGCCCAGATTCGATGCCAGCAGCTGGAGCCAGAGAACGTGAGCCAGCAGCAGTACATCACGCAGCTGGAGGCCAGGCAGTCGACCTTGGAGAACACCAATGCCCAGCTGAATAGGCACTTGAATGACATCGTGGCTGAGATGAGTTCGTTCAAAGATATTTTACTCAAGAATAATAAGTCTCGCGTGGGTTTTTTTTGTCGAGATAATACTGTCACGCTGAAAAAGCAACTGGAAGGGCGGGACAAGGAGATGCACCTGCTGATTGAGCAGGAGCACGAGACACTAAATACCGTGGCCACATTGTATGAGGAGAAAACACGACTGCAGCTGCGCATTGTGAAAATGGAAAAGGAATTGGGCGCAGTGAAACAAAATTTGGCCAAAACCTATTCGCAGCTACAGCAGAAAATTAATCCGTTGATAGCTGAACGGGATGCGCTGCGCAATCGCCGCCAGAAGGCCGACAGCCAGCTGAAGAGCATTCAACTGGACATGCTGCAATTGAGCGAGGAAAACAAGCATCTCAAACAGGAATGTGATCGGCTGAAGGAGGCCAAGGCCTCTTGGTGGCTGCCCATACGGAGGTGGATCGACTGACCCAGCTGCACTCAGAGACCTCACACGAGAAGGATGTGCTCAGCTACGAGCTGCAGGAGCAGCGCGAACAAATCGCCAAGCTCGAGCAAAGTCTACAGAGCGTAGAGTTCAATACAGAGCAGCAGGCCAAAAGGCTGGCGTCGGAGAAGAAGAGTCTGCAGAGTGAGCTGCAGCAGTTGCAGAGCGAGCTGCAGCAGTTGCAGGCGAAATGTGAGCCAGAGAACTGCAGTAGCTGTGCGGAGAAGTTGGCTGAAATTCGAAGTGCTGAGATTCAAATGAGCAGGCTGCAGAAGAGCAACAAGAGGCAGGCGAAAATCCTAAAGGAACAGGAGCTGCAGCTCACGCTGCAGAGCCCCTGCGCTCGCACCCCAGCTATGGACATTTCCACCACGCAGCAGAGTCAGCTCATGGCGCTCAAGGGGAATGCCGAGCAATTCAAGGCGTTTATCAAGCAGCAGGAAAAGCAGGACACCAGTATTGATGCAACGCCCACCCATTCGAACATGAAACATTTTGGCTAAATTTGCTGCAATTGTTTTTGGTTTTTGTTTTGATTAAATCAGCCAACCATTGGCTGATCAGAGATCAATGTCTTTTCTTGTATTGAGTGCAGCTCAGTCTTCAGTCGAGAGGTATAGCAGGCCGGCTACTAGGCCCAGTCCGATATATCGTGGGGCCACGCTTAAGTAAGCTTTTCGGCTACGAGTATGCACCATTATCTCAAGGATTATCGGAGTATTAGCCAACCATTCCCTATTCCCTACCAGCTATGTGATGTTTGAAGTTGTGAGGGATTCTTGTGACTTTTTTTTTCATTTACAACCGACTGTCATCTGGCAGTATGCCTCAGCAACGGAAACTTACCAGAGCTTTCTTTATTTATTTCTTTTGGCTGTGCAGGCGGCTTAAGTGATCTGAAATATGTATATCGGGGCGTGGGAGAAGCTGAGGACAGTCGTGGCAGGTCGAGGCTGAATTATTTAAAGTTTATAATTGAAGTTGAAACAACAGACAGCGGACAGTGGACAGTGGACAGCGGACAGTGGAGATGCGGACAGCGGACAGTAAGCTGCAAGTTTTCACTGTAAGATGCAGATGGAGGGTTGCATAGCAAAGGGAGCCTTGGTGTGGGAGTGGGCTGGAATGGACTGGGCTGGGCTTTAGCTGAATGAAGAAGCGCTCACTAAGTGCAAAGACACACACACACACGCACACTTATATACATACATATGTACATGCATAAATTGTTAATTCTGTGCACAAGTTTAATGAGTCGTTGGCATGATGCTAGCAATCAATACTGTAGGCCTACACATATCGGGGAGGCACAGGCGAGGGTACTGACAACTTGCACAATGGCCCTTGACATTTATCAAGAATGCTCGATATGGCCCGAGCCTCGACAAGTTGAGCAGCCATTGGAGGAGACTGAGGGACTGAGAGAGCTGGAGGTGTACTCAGCCTCAAAGTAAAAAATGAAGAATGAAGAATGCAGAATGGTGAATGGAAAAAGGAGATGGGAAATTAAATGTGAAAATAACATTGCTAATTCATAAATACTCGTATTATATTCTGTGTGTAAGCCACTCACTTTACTTGGCCGCCTTTTCTTTACTTCGTCAGTGTGTCACGGCAGCTGGTGCATCACTGTACGAGTGAGTATATGCTGTATAGCTGTATAGCTGCACAGCTGTACAGCTGTGTGTGTGTGACACTTGCCACAATGTTTGGGGTAAGAAGATGAGAAATGACGAAAAATGTGCTAAAGGTGTCCTCCCCTGGTGAAGTGTGTGAGTGGGTGGTGATCGTTGGGCGGTGGCAGAGGGGAGGTGACAAGCAAAGTTTCGAGCTGTGGCAGGGCCATAAAATATTCCAAATATATCAAAAGGATTGCTAATGCAGAGCACCCCCCATCCACTCCACTCACTTTATTCCGCATTTACTGTATCGTGTTGCCCCTTCTAACTGTGTGCGTGGATCTCCTGCGTATTTGATTTTTAAACGCCGCTGAGGCTGATGCTGAGGCGCATTAGCATACATCTGCATATTTATATGGCTCGGATAGGAACAAGATACTCATGATTTGCGCACGATTCACTCGCACACAGGTGGAGCCACAGCCGTGCAACAAACAAAAAGATAACCAATAAAACTCAGGAAAACGAAAATATAATACGTTAAGGAACCGTTAAGGGAAAAAATTTCGAATGGCTTGAATGCATTTACAAAATGTGCCGTGGATCAGCGTTGACAGCGGGTGAATGCTTTTTGGCTTTTCGATTTCCATTCCATTGCCGTGTTTTCTGCCCTGAGTGGCGGGCACTTTCAGTGTTCAGTGTGGCTACAAAACCTTCTCTGCTACTCTCTAGTTCTCTAGCCCATCTTTGGCCCCGATCTCCATGTCTTATTTGACGCCCATAAAATGCAAATACTTAAATTATACAAAGGAATAAAAAAACAGTCTTTGGCAGCGCTTTGTGCTTTCACTCAGTCTTTTGTTTAATTTGTAGTCCCCCTAGCAACAGTATGCCCCCCACCCCGCTAAAGCATCCTCAGTGATGTCTTCATCATAATTACAAACAAAGAATAACGAGGGAGCCAGCAGCAGTGGACAAAAAACAGCAGCAGGCAGCAGGAGGCAGCAGCAGTCAACAGGTGCTAATAGCACTAATGTTACTGCCTCTCTGCTGTTACTGTTTGTCTGCTGCTTATCTTGTGCTGCTTTTACTCTGTTAAAGCTTCTCTGCTGTTACTGCTTGTCTGCTGGTGGTGCTACTGTTACTTGTGTTACTGCTTGTCTGCTGTTGATCAGCTGCTCCGTCGCGACATCTCGGACATACACATATATCTGTTATGTTGGAACTGATTTGCTTAATTATCCCACAAAGCAGTGAAAGATAACATCAGGATCTCTGGAGAGTCCTGCATTGGCTAGCCTACTTCGCTCAGGAGAAGGTGGAGGGGCAGGTTCCCAAATGTTGTGTTATTTAAAACCGAAAATAAGTAGGCACATCAAAACATATATCCAATCAGTTATAAAGCAGTATCTCTGTTAACATTTTACAGTCAGTCATCATTTTGAAATATGAATTAGAACTCCAAATTTCTGTTTTAACTCCCAAAATTTGACGAAAAATGTCCGCCGCAGTAGCACAGAAAATTACCGATTGCCTACAGACCTGCATTAAGGGCCTCAACGATCGCTATGAGCCACATGTGCGCACGCACCTGTCCAAGGTGTACATGATCATGGGAAGTGCCATAGCCGTGACAGCTGGGGGAGCCGTGTTTCAAATGGATGACGTTCTGGATTTCGGTATGTTGGCTGCTGTGGCAACATTGCTGTTGGTTGTGGCGCTGCATTTCTACAAAGATGACGGCAAGAACTACAAAATTCGCTTGGCCATGCTTTATGCCTTTGGATTCTTCTCTGGCCAGTCGCTGGGGCCGCTGCTGGGATATGTGGGCAGCATCGATCCGCCCATCATTGTCACGGCCCTACTTGTTACCTCTGTGACCTTTCTGACCCTCTCCCTGACCGCACTGCTGTCCGAGCAAGGCAAGTACCTGTATATCGGCGGTACGCTGGTGAGCGTTATCAACACCATGGCCGTACTGAGTATCATGAATATGATATTCAAGTCATATGTGGTGCAAATGATGCAACTCTATGTGGGCGTTCTCGTTGTGGCCGCTTTCTTGGTCTATGATACTCAGGATATTGTGGAGAAGTGCCGCAACGGAAACCACGATGTCGTGCAGCACGCCATGGATCTGTTCTTTGACATATTGAGCATGTTCCGTCGTTTGGTGCTCATCATGAAGAAAAAGGAGAACGAGGCACTGAACTGTCGCCGCAGGACTCACTGAGTCCGGTAGCAGAAAAAAAACAAAAACAATCAATAAAAACAATAGCTTAATCAAAAGGATGTCAACGATGCAAAACATAAAACTAATTAGGTTACAAAATTTTCAATTTTACAGAACTTCGAAATTTCGTCTATTTTCACTTTAAAATGACAATATCAAAGGTTATCGCAATAAATAAATTAACAAACAGATTTTTTATAATTAATGTAAGTGATTATCTAATTGAATGTTTATTTATTATATGAAAGCAAGGCAGACTGGCCCAAGTATAAGAATAATTATCTCAAATATGTTATGGCGGACTGCTGGCTGCCTCTCTGCTGTTACGGCTTCGCTGCTGTTACTGCTTAGCTTCTCTCGTGCTGTTGCTACTTCTGTTACTGCTGTTCCTCTTCTTATCTGCTGTTACTGCTTCGCTGCTGCTACTGCTTTTCTGCTATTGATCTGCTGATCCGTCGCCTTTCTTACATTAATAAATTATAAAAATCAGATTATTATGTCATATGTACTATGTACCTATGTAGATGTAGCAAAAGTATGTTTCAGAAGAAAGTCCAACCAATAATTGCTCTATTTGCCGTTCAGTGGAGTTGGGGAGGGCTTGATGCATGGCCTTACATATTCATTTCTATCCATCTGCTTCTAACTTTGGCAACATTCATGTTGTTTGTACCATGTCGTCGCAACTGCAGCACAGTTTTTGGAAAGAATGCAAAAATGGTTGTGCACGAGGGATGCACTGTCTTTCCACTCGTTCCTCCCCTATTCCCCCCATATCTTGGCAACAAATAAAATTCGTTTTCTATGCGCGTTTTTCTTCAAGTTTTTGTCATGATTTCACGCTTTATGGCCGGCATTTGGGGGCTTGACGTGCCAAGGCCTTCGACTGGAACTTCCGCAGCTTCCCCTCATGCTTACATTTTATACTGATGCTGGCAACAACAAGTTTTCGCTGCTTCTCGCACGCTCCTTTACACCTCCATTCCATTCCCTTACCCAATGGTTGTCATGCATCGGCGTTTGCCCATAACGCAATTTCAATACATTGAGCAGTGGACAGCTGGACAGTGGCAGCACACTCCCAACAAGTAAGAAAACATCAGTCTATGTACATTCCGAAGATCCGATACCCTGCAGACTTGGGACGAACAATGACCTCAATCATACACAGAAGAGGATGCCCATAGGCACCATAGAGTGCAACTCTCTCCTCTTTTCTGGACTTTGGTCATTGATTAACTTATTTTCAATCGAAACAGTTGAATTGAATACAATTGAATATAACCAAAGGAACCTTCACTGCGCAAATGGATAGCAAACAGCCGGATCTCAGAGCTGGTGCACGGATGGGTCGAAATTGGACAATAAAGATACAGGGGCTTTCATTGTAGGACCACCATTCAGCCAAGTCAATGCCATCCACAACCTTCTGCCCGACTGACAGGCATTCGTTTGGGCCATTAATCGGTCTCGAATGTTTCTCGAGCCACAACAAATTGAAACTAGTAGAGATGTAAATATGTACGCCTGTGGACTCTATGTGAAGTCTGCCTGGTACTCTATGGAAGGTTGTCTCAACAATTGGAGGGGGGGTAATGTGATAATCTCGGAAGCAAGCAGTGGAATGCAGAGCAGGCTCTTCCATATTCAAAAATGCTTCCCTTGGGCATTTGTAACATTCGTCATCACGAGTACATCATACCCAACGAGTGCCGGGTGCCAAGTGGCAGAACAAGAGCCGTGGGCGTCGGCTTGTTATGCAGGGCTTATGGCCACTTTTTGGCCACTTGGCTACTGCGTACCAACAGAATTTTACCTTAGATTCCACTACCTCACCCCCTGCTTGACAGCTTCTGCCGAGCAGCTGCTTGGCTTTTCAATTTTCCCTTCCCCAGACCAAAGCACAATATGGCAAAAGTTATGTGCCTCAAAATTTTCAACGCCCTCGAACACCCAACTTACGGGTTGTCAGGCCAGGCCGCCTTCCATGCTCCTTCCATACTGCTCCGTCATTTGTTGGGATTCACTTTCCATCCCATAGAAGGTGCAAACAATATTCGTAAATGTGTTGAAATGTTTAACTAAAATGAATTTGCCAAAAATCGAGGCAATAGTTTTTGCCATCTTTGCTCTTTGATTTACTTGACTACTCCGCGTTCCGGCCAACCATTCCGGCAGGGTCCAAAATTTCATTGGGATGTGCCCCAGGGCCACAGCAAACACGAAAGTCTCCATGTTCATGCTGAATTTGTGGGTAGGATATGGGCTGATGCTAGCGCAAAAGGATATCGATTACACGGAAAGGTTTTGGAAATAATAAGGATTCGAGCTTCCTTATAGTCTTTTCACACTGGGCGCGTTTCCTATCGAAATCGAAATAGACGCAATGAAGCAGAAAAGGCGTTCACATTGGCAGACGTGCGTCTTGAATTTTGATTTGGATGCTTGATGATGTAAGGACCTATCTCAGGCTGGGATATGCATCAGCCTGTCCAGGGTCCTGAATTACAAGATAATTTATAATTCACGATGACTTTATTGGGAAAACAGGGACTTTGCTAGCAACTGAAATAAAATGGATAGCGAAATCACAACACTTTTGGTTCCTTGAATTTTAGTGGGTGTCTTTATTTTTCGTCTTATTTTGCTATCGGGTTATGTTGACCGACTGACCGCGACGTGTATGGTAATTCTTGATGAGCGGCTGAATCGTGCTGTTGCTGATGGACTCCCGATTGACTGCCACGTCTCCAAGCCAGAGAGTGTCTTTTATGGATCGGCCGGCCATCGATTTTTCCACCAATGTCTTACAGATATCTTATTTCTATTTCGGAATGTTGGAGGCTTCTTACGTAAATATATATTGTCGAGTGGGTTGCCCGGTAGCAGAGGGTTACCTAACGTAATCGCCTCCCAACAAGTGTCCAATGTCCCAGGTAAGGTGATCGATGTGCACCGGAACCGTGGGAAAGGAATTTCGTTGGAGCTTTGTGAATGTATTTTGGAGGAATATTTATTTATTTAATCTTATTTTAGGTACTTATTGTGTAAGCCCAGGTGCCGGTCTCCTGTCTTTTGGCATGTGCTGAGTTTTTGTTTTTGCTGGGTGTTGATCTCTTCACCTGGGAGTAGCGTTGGTTCCATCGACTGCCAGGCTAACAGAAATCCCATTTTTCTTATTTTCTTCCTCCACTTTCACCCCCTCAAATGGCAGAAAACGGTAAAATTCAAATCTGAGATACCAGGCGAACAGAAATCAGCAGAAGGTCGCTGCTTTTTCTAAATTCTCGTTTTTCTCTGTTTCTCTTTGTATTTCGTTGCTCTCTTTTTCCGCTCTAATTTTTCTCATTTTCTTCCTCCACTTTCCACCGCTCCAACGGCAGAAAACGGTTAAATTCAAATCTGAGATACCAGGCGAACAGAAATCAGCAGAAGGTCGCTGCTTTTTCTAAATTCTCGTTTTTTCTTGTTTCTCTTTGCATTTCGTTGCTCACTTTTTCCGCTCTAATTTTTCTCATTTTCTTCCTCCACTTTCCACCGCTCCAACGGCAGAAAACGGTTAAATTCAAATCTGAGATACCAGGCGAACAGAAATCAGCAGAAGGTCGCTGCTTTTTCTAAATTCTCGTTTTTTCTTGTTTCTCTTTGCATTTCGTTGCTCACTTTTTCCGCTCTAATTTTTCTCATTTTTTTCCTCCACTTTCAACCGCTCCAACGGCAGAAAACGTTAAATTCAAATCTGAGATACCAGGCGAACAGAAATCAGCAGAAGGTCGCTGCTTTTTCTAAATTCTCGTTTTTCTTGTTTCTCTTTGTGTTTCGTTGCTCTCTTTTTCCGCTCTAATTTTTCTCATTTTCTTCCTCCACTTTCCACCGCTCCAACGGCAGAAAACGGTTAAATTCAAATCTGAGATACCAGGCGAACAGAAATCAGCAGAAGATCGCTGCTTTTTTCAATTCCCTTTTTTCGTGTTTCTTTATGTATTTCGTTGTTCTTTTTTTCCGCTCTATTTTTTCTCATTTTCTTCTTCCACTTTCCACCGCTCAAATGGCAGAAAACGCTTAAATTAAAATCTAAGATACCAGGCAAACAAAAATCAGCAGAAGAAAAAGTGGAAAAAGAGAGCAACAAAATACAAAGAGAAACAAGAAAAAACGAGAATTTAGAAAAATCAGCGACCTTCTGCTGATTTCTGTTCGCCTGGTATCTCAGATTTAAATTTAACCGTTTTCTGCCGTTGGAGCGGTGAAGAAGAAAATGAAAAAAACGAGAAGGAACGTGTGAGTCGCTTCTGGGGACGCGACTCTACTTATACCCGTACTCAGTCAGTATATACATTTTTGAGCTTATGATTATTTAGAATTTTTTTGCCACATCTGTTATCTACGTCTAATGTATATTTATGTATATTTAACATCTAACACGTATATTCTACATGTACCATTTAGATTTTACATCTTTTCCGCTAGCGGCCGCTCGCGCAGCGGAGTGTGCGAGCGAGAAAGAGAAGGAGTAGCGGGTCTCTTGTTGGAGGAGGTGAGGGAAGCAACTGAAAATTAATTTCTTCATTCTGGCTATAATTATGATCCGATCGGATTCAGATTCAGCAATCAGGTAGATATGGTCATTCTCTACGATACTGCGTTTTTAGTTTTATTTATTTATTCGCCAACGGATAAACCTTATCTGGCTAGACTAACTTAATTCTACATTAAAAAGTAAATACAAAATGAGGAACTAACAATTAAACAAGAAAAACTCAGAAAGCAACCGTCTGACGGCTCCTTTTCCCAAGGCAAAAATCGAATCGCATCCCAGCAGGTAGCGAATTATACCGGCGAAGAGCCCTACATATTGGCTCGTTATTACCGTAATTGTTCCGGTGAAGATCAACTACAAAGAGTGCATGGCCCCTAAGGCTCCTGGCAGGCGTGTTAAAGATAACCCCAGCAAGCAGGTCAGGGCAATCGATGTTACCCACTAATATATTGTATATAAATAACTGAGCCGCAATAGTCCTTCGATCCTCGAGAGAGGAGAGATGCACGAGGCGACATCTGCACTCATAGGACGGCAACGGAACGGAAAATTGCAAAGGCTGGAGTGCAAACTGCAAAAACTTCCTTTGCAATCTCTCGATACGAGCAATTTGAAAGACCCCAGTGGGGTTCCAAACCACCGA